CCGTCGTCGTCGTCGTCGTCGTCTCCTCTCTCCTCTCTCTCTCTCTCTCTCTCTCTCTCTCTCTCTCTCTCTCTCTCACCCTTTCCTCGACAGCGGGTAGCAGTTTGTTTAATTATCGTCGTAATGCCCCGCGGTGTCGAAGTTTATACTACTCGGCCGTTAGTTGACGACTTGCCGGTGCTCAATTCTCTCCGTCGCAGCTTTTCATTATCGCACGGTGTGCGAAATAAATGAAATGTGATGAGGAACATTCGTCTATGATTACGACATTGTAATTAATTAGTATTTAAGTGGCAAGTTGTTTTAAATCTTTAGTATCGCGGTGTAAAAATTCCACATGAATAACTGCGTAAGACTTTATAAACTTTTTACTAGGATTATTTAATTCAATAAAGTTTTTTTTATCGAGATACTTTTTTAATCTAAAAGAGAGATAAGATTGGAATAATTTAAATTCCTTAAAAAATATATAAAATAATGTACTAAATTACAAAGCTGAAGTGTTTGTAAATATCTAAAAATTTAAAAATTTAATTCGCAGAAAATATGAGCTATTAATTTAGAAAACTAATCCATAAAAAGCTAAATATTTTATTTTCATTAATATTTTAATAACTTTATTGACAATCATTATTCAAATTTTGCTATATAGTTCCGAAAAGTAGAAGTGACTCTAGATGGTGTCTTATATTTAGCATCATGTGCAACCTCGTGTGGTACAAGAACTCCATCTGCCACGTTGCTAGTCTGAATCTTGCTTCAGAGATCTGGTCATCTTTAGTAATATTTTTTCTGTGGCTGTGAATGTAAACAAATTCAGTTCACTATTAAAATTCTGATAGTGCGATCTGTTTGTGCGAAGCAAGAGTAAAAATGCCAAAAACAAACATGCTGAATGCAATCATGAACGCAGTGATGTTAATTTCAATGGATGACGACCTGGAATTAAATAAATTAATACAGTATATTACGATAGAATTGTTGTTGTTAGATGATTTGAAAATTGACTTTGCTGATGATGTGACAACAAAGAAAGGAAATTTAATTAGGAAACGGTATGGCACTTTAAGAGGCATATTTAGAAAAGAAAGGAATATTGAATTGTTATCATTTTTCCAATCTCATTAACCTCAACGTATGAGCAGAAACCAGTATAAGTTGTTCACAGTTAGATGCAGAAATAATCAAGATTCTCAGAGAAAATAGATTTTTAATTAAACATGTAAGAGTTTATACAAAAAAATATTCCTTTCTTAATATTGTAAATTATTTCTATGTTTTTGATTCGCTTATAAGCTGTGCGCAGTTCAAATTTTATCCATATATGCATGATACGGTAAACCTAGGAGTATAATCAATGTAATAACAGAAGTCTTAGGTGGCAATTCGTTTTTTGTAGTTTAGTTCCAGATAATCGAGTGGATAAACAAAATATCAGAGATCAGAATACCACAAAATCAAAAATGCATGATTTAGAGGAAAGAGAATTAAATTATGAAGAAAGAAGATTGAATAGCCTTAACGAACTGTTGAAGACAATAAAAGAGCACAATAGAATTCAGAAAGAAACAAATAATATTCTCAAAAGTTTCATAGAAATTTGTGAAATTGCTCCTTTCGTTGATGAAAAAACTGAAATTTGTATCAGCATTGCAGATTAGTTGATAAGTTAGGTATGCATAAAATTAAATTCTAAAGTTATTTTAGGGATAAGATTAAAATAATGGAAAATAATAAAAATGACAACTGTATATATTTGATACATATTTGTTCTATTATTTAATATCAAAGATTTTATAAATTTTCGTTGTTTTTATTCTACACAACTCTTTATTCCCACAATCTTCCTAAACTTGTGTTTATGCCTAAATCTTACTTATTGTTAGCTTTATCACGCGATTATAATTAACAATATATTTAATTCTTTATATTTTCACAATAATAATTAGCGATGTAATTTACGGAGCATTGACACGTTTTCGCTTGCAAGTAGCTGATCAGAGATAAATTATGACGAAAGAATCCAGAATGGAATAGAAGAGAAATCAAGATTGAATGATTTGTTTCATATATGAAAATAAATCACGAGAGAGAAAAAGAAAGAGAATGTGATTTAAGTTGCTATAAAATATATATAAAGTAAATGAAGTATTTTTTTATTTCTTAAATATCTTGTATATAGAGATATCGATGTAATGAACCTTACAAATTGACATTATCAAGAGAGCTACGTACTAGATAAACTTCGCGAATCGTTTTCGCGTAACGCGATCTTAGCAGCACCATATATTATATAAACGTTTACATCATATTGCGTGAAGTAATCTTCTCGAGTTGCATTTTAATGGATGGAACAGTAGATTCCTTTGGGGATACAGTTAACATAGGGCGATTTGGTGGAAATTAAAATTATTCAATTTTTATCCAAATCAGCTATTTCAACTGTATATTTCAATACCTTCAGTTTGGACATCTAGCGTTCCATTGCGACCAGTTAATAAGCAAACTCTCGTAAATAAATAATTTCGTTTCTCTCGCTTCTGTCTTGCCGAGATATTTATTTAATATTTAGTACTACTTAGTATTCGCGCCGCTTTTCACTTCGCTCGCGTAACTCGATAATCCGTCTTCTCTTCGAGAGAGTTAAATGTGAGCGCGGCGAGCCAAGCTTCGCAGATCTGAATTTGATCGACGTGGTCGATCGATTATGATCGAATTATGAGATTCGCGCCTGTTTTTACCGAGATTCCTCAAGAATAATTGTGTCCGTTGAATGCACGAATGCATTCTTTATTGGTCCCTCCGTTTTTGCGGAATCATTATCGTGGTGAATGGTATATCAGCGATCTAATGTTCGTTAATGAGGATTCGAGAAAGCTCGGTGAAATCAATCATTGAAGTTCGACGAACAACGTGTGACAAACGCGTATCTCTAATGAGCGCAAGTACGCGTCATTGTAATCAGCACGCGTGGCGAAGGTGCGTGAGAACGGTCTTACTTATTGAACTAGAAAAATACAAAATGATATCTCGCTCCTAAGTATAAGTACGCAGATTTTGAGCAACCGTTTTGCGCAAGTCGAGCTTCCCAGACAATGCGAATGTCTAAAAAAAAAACGTGGTCAGAACGCCTGAAAAATGTTCTATAATCTTTCAGACTTTCTTTCGACGTCTCTCATTGTTCGATGTTTTTTTAGATCTTCGCATTCTTTGGATCTTGCTTCCGGTCGGATGGAATCAAACGATCGGTCTATCGCGGGAAGAAAAGAGTTTGCTTTTGGTAATCGTATGGTGTTCGCATCTCGAACAAAATTCGAAGTCGTGAATTTTAAATTACAGATAAATTACGCTCGTGATCGGAGGGGGGGGGGGGAGTCCGCGATCACTTCGAATCGATAGATTCTTCGCGTCGTGATGCCCGATCACGAATCGATCTTGATCTCTGTCAGATTTTGTGTCGAATATTTTTGATCCCCTCGTCCTGTCAAGTGACGCGATGGCGAATTTTCGATGCTAGTGGCGAGCATAGGTATGCTCGGGATATTTTCTTTCCTTCGATGCCGACCGGCCGAGTTCCTTCAGTAGTTGTAGGGCCCGTACTGAGAGCCGTGGTAATACGGCCCCGGATACGCCGCTGGCGCCGGATATCCGGCATATGCGTACTGCTGCTTCTGCGGGTAAACTGGAAAAGAAACAAGAAACGATGTTAGATTGAATCTTTGCCTGCATTCTAATAAAGGAAGAGCGTTAAAGCTAAGTTTGCTTATCAGGTAAACGAGATAATAATTTTAGATAAATCACCATCGCTTTATTTTTTGCCGATTAAAGAGCAATCAATATTCGTTTCTTGTATAATTTAATCTTCGGTTTACCTGGAGCTAATTGTAATAAGGTATGCATCATGTCATTATTTATAGAAGATTGTAGTGGCAACAAAGGATGCGGGAAAAAGATTCTATGCCTCGCATTGCAAGGCGAGACACGTTTGCCGTTCACGTTCGCACAAATCGAATTCTGACATCAATTGATTAGCATACGGCGCTGAATGCACAAACACGGAAATTCTTTTGTGGCAAGAAGTCGGTGGGTGTGCGGAAAATTAGGCAAGTGTGTCGCTTTCGAGTGACTGCTTCGACTTTAGATAAAACTGCGGTTTTCCATTCCTTTTCTTGTAGTAAAAGACAATTATCGCGCATAAGCGTTTATCGCCGTGTACTCGATTTCTCAAAGCGCATTTGTTGCGAAATAAAAATTCAGATTCCTAGCTTTGAAACGCATTTGGAAACCGATTAGATGTATAAGTGCAACCCGGCCGATCATCCGAAGGATAACTAGAAAGTTTTCTTCAGGATTGGAGCGTGACAAAAGTATCCACGGCGGAAACAGAGCGTGAGTCGAATAAGTAAAAGTTTTGTGAAAATGAATATTAACCGTTCTATCATACGACAATATTATCATAGCGACTCGGTAATCGGCTTGCCGAATCCATCGATCAGAATCTTAACTGCTTCTGCGTTAATTTTTTAATTATTATCAGTAATCACTTATCGCTAATGCGGCCAAGTTATGAGTATATTATAATATTTATAAAGGAAAATTTATGCAGAATAGAAGTGAAAAATTTACATATATATATATTTTTCTTATTTGATAGAAATATTAAAAATGGCTCGATTAAGCAATGATGATGTTTAATTTTGCTGTCTTACATTAAACTCGTCATTTAATTTTATTCGATAATTATTTAAATTTATCACTTTTCGCAAGGAATTTTTTTCAATCTAAGCACTGGAGATTTAATTTCGACAAAAATGTGGCCTTGACAAGATCGAGATAAATCATCGAGAGCGTAAAGACCAATTTAAATTCTCGACCAACCAGTAATTTTCCGCGCGACTTCACTCTCCCGATTAATTTAGCTTAGAAAATTGCGCAAAGACTAACTTTAATAAAACCTCAGCATGCAATTCGCTTTAATATTCATCGAACTAGTTTTGCGTAGCCTCATTTCTCGTGTCCGCAAATTTGCAGCCTATTCTTTGAAACGTCAGCGAAATCTATTATCGCCAGGGTTAATTTTGTTCTATATATGTATAATATATATATTTATAGGAATCGACCTTTCTATATACAAGGCGTTATTAGGATTGTCTTTCATTCTGGTTAAGTTACGGTTAAACAAGCGATCGGATTGGCCTTGTCTTGTCATGTATTGCCGTTAATTAGTTTACGATTGTTTTTATGTATATATCTTTGAATCTCGAATATATATTACAACCGTTTATAATTTGTAATTTGGATAAGTTAAAATCTTCGCATAATGGTTATTGAATCTCGTTTCGATATAATAATAGCTATAAAAATAATTGATCTATTGCATAAATCGTGCTGATAATAATTCTCTTATGCGTTAATACGGAAGCCTTTGAAGTGAACTGTATAATCATGTAACGTGCCATTAAATGTTTGCAAAAATGACTGGAATAGGAGACTTAAAACTCGTTCAGTGATATCATCGCTTCCGTATTCACGCCCCTCTTTTCAATACAGTTAGTATAATGACGAGATGATCGTTATCCTTGTATCAAGGAACGTGTTCCTTGTGATCAGGCTTGATGATCGTAAACTAATGTTAGTAGAACACTCGGTGCATGCGGAATCCCGAAGCGCAACACCTCGGGATTTTGTCCGAAGAGAATGAGTTGTTATTCCGCAGTTTTTATCGCAATAAATCATTCGACGCCGGAATATCAATATTAATCGATATCAAAGTTTTTCGTAGTTCAAGAGAAATCACATAAAAAATAAACGAAATATGATAATTACCGGATAGAAGGCTAATCAGACACCGCGTGCACCAAGTGGGCAAAAGCAATAGGTGTTAAATATGTACCAGGCATGAGATACTGCATGTTCATCGCCTCCTCGCGCATTCTCTCGCCCCTCAAGCAAATCGCCGCGGCGCTAAACAAGATCGCACTGACCAACGACCAACCGACGCCGACCCAAGCGACCACGTACGACCAGTCGTACGAGATTAGTGAGTTTTCCTTCAGGACCTAGACGGTTTTCCCCGCGTGCCGTGCCGCGCCGGATGTACATAACAAACAAAAAAGAGATACGGGGCGAGTTAGTCCGGCCGTTTCATGGATATCGTGTCACCTGGCATGATGTACTGAACGTTCTGGGCCTGCTCGCGGGCACGCTCCCTTCTCAGGCAGGATGCCGCGATCAGGAATAGCGTCATCGTGCCCAGACACGTAGCCACCCCCAGCCAGGCCAGATAAAACGACCAGTCGTACCACTGCGCCGTGTTGTCCCTTAAAACCTGCGGGCAAAATTCTTTATAAACACCGCGTGTGGTTGCTTGTCAATGGCACCTCCAGGCTGAGATGTGCGATGCGACAGATCGATCCGGTGCCTGAAAGAATCTCCTCGTGACGCAAGACGAGCGAAAATATTCTTTGCTATGTCACTTTTTTTTCTTTTATTTGGAAAATATGTCTGAAAATGATTTAGAAAAAAATCAAGCTGCAAAAATTGTTGAGTGTTCAATTTGCATTAAAATTCTCGATTCTTTTTCTTCACTCATCTTGCTTTGCATTAGCAATATATGTGCCAAAATCAATCGATTGCCGTTGACCTTTGAAAGCGATTATATAAATAGTGTACTCAGGAAAGCTAAATTAGATCGATTAAAAAGAATATGTTAAATTATATTCTAGTTTTCTTTCCACGATCGATATGATAGTCAACGACAAGCTTGAAGATTTCGGCGAATTACGTGAGTTGCATCGGTAATAGAATTACGGGAAAGTAAAATTGAGAACATCACTTACGTTGCTCCATTGTTGGTAATATTCCTCTCCGACGATTTTCTCTTTTTCATAATATTCGACGCCGTGCCACAAGCCCATACCACCAGCGCTCAGTAAGCCTGTGCCGTTTAAACAAATATATTCCAATTATATCATCGGCATCATAAAGTGTTGTCGAAAATTATATAAGCTGGCTGAAATTTCTCAAAAATACTTTTCGAAAAGTGTACTGACATGCGAATAACATCAGAATCGCCGTGGCCGTAATGTTCCCTGGTGATCTTCTCCAGCAGCCCACCACTCCTGTCCAGAACGCCGAAAAAATCGCGAGAAAGCCAACCATGAATAAAGCTATCACGGATCTACCCATGTCTGTAATAATGACAAGAAATTCAAACATGTTATATTTTATTTGCTATAAATATTTATTCGCTGTAAATATTTTTATTATATAGTCCGGAAACTATTCTCTCTCTACGTAGAGTTGCCATTATACACGTGTTCACTGCCACGTCGGTCATCGGCGACCGAACTTTCCATTCAAGCCACATCGGTTACCGAGTAGACGCGTGACCGAATTCTTAAGTACAATCATTTATACCTGTGAGACTGTCCATACGATTAATTCTTTCGATTTTTTTTTTTTTTTTTT